CATCTGTAAGTTCGTAGAAATTTTTTCATCTAGTCTAGGACGAGGTTCTGATATCAACAGGTGTCGATTAGGGCCACTCGTTCGAGGCAGGGGTAAAAGTGGTAATATAATTTAAAGAAACATAGCCATCTCGAAATAAGTAACCTCGAAAATAGGCCGAAATCGCATTTCAAGTTATTTAAAACCCTGGGAATAATTTCGGGTGAACTTGTTTTCCGGCGAAACTTACGACAGACCGAATAAGTTGTCACAGGTACTTATATCGGACTGAAATGCAGTGATTTTTAGATACAAATTTTATTTAATATCACCGACAATTCTTTTTTTTTTGAAGTATTGCGAATTGTAAATTTTTTGAGATCTTATGTTATCAACTGCGACACTTCAGCGTAGATAATATACGTAGTAGTATTGTCCAGTTTATGCAATAAGTAAACGTCCACTAGAGTGATAAGTAATCTACATCCTAACATTCGCACATTCAGTTAATTTTTAGCAATGCACATTTCTCTTATACATACATACATATGAAATCAAAAGAATATTTAATTGAGCAATAAATAGTATATGGCTGCAGTTTTCTTTTACAGTTTTATCAACGCGGTTTTTGTTTGCACTTTTTTCGCATACATTTACCCAACCCGATTTACGCGTAAACAAACAATGGCGAAACGTCAAATACCAATTTTGTCGGCAAAAAACCACATTTAAACAAATATTTAACAAGTGTTGAGAACCTATTAAAATGTCTGCATTAAAATTTTTTTCACGAATCTTATTAATCTTACTTACTATCACTTTGTATTAAAAATATTACAATATAACAAAATCTCACTGCAACTTTTATTCAAAGTCAAATAACACAATGTCAATGCATTTGTTCAACTACAGAAAAACTTGCACATTCCCCAAGAAATTTGTTTGCCTCTTGTTGATAGCGTCTGATAGTAGAAGCGATTAAATAATTATGAGAACTCGTGCAAACAACAACGACAACCACATTTAAGCCCCATGGTGGGACTAACACCAGAGCAAAGCAATAAGATTAGGTACGTGCAGCGTTGCCATACGGGAAATGTCAAAAAAAAATTTTAAAGAGTTTGGTAATTTTGGAAAAAGGAAAAAAATCAATAGAATTTACGGAATCGGGGTCAGTTTCAGAGACGGTGTTTGTTTTCAATCCCCAATACTATTATCTATATATAATATTCCAAAAACTTGAAAAAGGTACTGATTTTGGTATAATAATAATAGATTGGCGCTTACACATATGTTAGTGTTTGGCCGAGCTTCTCCTCCGATTTGTGGCGTGCGCCTTGATGTTGTCACACAAAGCGGGGGGACCTACAGTTTTACGCCGACTCCGAACGGCGATTGTATTTTTATGAGAAGCTGTTTTTCATGGCAGAAATACACTCGGAGGTTTGCCATTGCCTGCCGAGGGACGACGGCTGTTAAGAAAAAACCTTTTTTCTATATTTTTGGTATACATAGTCATATTTATGTATGTCACCGACCATAGATATAGATTTCGCCTTTTTTATTTGCTCGGGTTTTTAAATTTTCCGAGTTTGAAAAAAATTTCGGATGGCAAGGGCTACGGTTACTTTGGATACGTGTGCATTCTGACGTATATTTTTTCTTATGAATTCTGGCCAGTTGGTCGAAACAAATAAAAGCCTGTTGTTTTACACTATTTTGACTTCGCCGTAACATTATATCTGATGTACCTGACTGAGCACATTATATTTGATGCGTCATAAAATATTATTTTTTCAAAGTCCCTGTCCCTGAAAATAGTTTTATATCGAAACTACCAAACCCCTTTTTTTAATTTGGGTGTGAGCCTTGGGAAGTATATTTTTGTACTCTAGCAAGTTTTTGATTGGTATCATGTACATATGTACATATTGTATGTAAGTATCGAAATATGTAACTGCACTAAAACTTTTTGATTTTTCTAAATCGAAATATATTCGAAAAAAATAACACCGAAATTTAAGAAAATAAGAAGTTTTTAAATGCTTTATAAATCAAACATTTTTATGAGAATTTCACTTTATAAAACTTAAAATTATCTAAGTTTGCATTTACAAAGGACGGAGAAAGGGGAAGAATGCAATCCTTTGTTGCGAAAATGGTAGTAGCAAAGTACGCAAAGTAGGCCATTAGTAGTGAAATTCCGTTTGTAAATGTGTTTGCAGAAAATATGAAATACTGAACGATATATTAAGATATCTAATTGAATTATGTATTTTAGGTGCTATTAGCGGTAGAAACTCTAAAAAAGGGCTCAAAATTAAAATAAAACTGCTATGGGTTTCATGTAAACATCCAATTTAAAAGCAATTTATGTTTTCATCAGTTACATGTGGTTTATATGCATATACAAATAAACATTTTGCACAAAAACGTATGCTGCTATTTCACACGTAAGCTACATTTTTTCAAGTAAATTTGCAAAGAAGCAATACGGTGCCACTGCTAAGGGAGCGGTGCGAGAGAGACACCTGTCAGTTCACAGAACCGTTAATTATTGAATCATGCTTTTAGAGCGTTCCAGAACGTCTACGATTTGCAGGTTTTGCAAGATTTAATCCAAAGTCGTTCCCGTACGCCACGTTCACATAAGGTTTATTAAAGGCGAAAACAGCTGTTCCTGTAAAACTTGCAAATCGTAGAGTACGGGAACATGCTATTTGACTTGCGTGTATATTATTTTCTACACTGACATTTGGGGTATTTACAACAGTGTCGTCTTGCTGATTTTCGTAAACTTTATAAGCCTGAATAAATGTTTCGGGGACTTGGAACCACCTATGACAACCAACTATTTTTTAACACTGAAAATTCATAAAATGTAGTATATATAGTATGTAGTATAGTATCTTGCGAACCCCTTAATATATTTTTAGCCGTTTCAAGTCTTCATACAACAATGCAACACTTACGACTCCTTTGTGAATACCCCAATTGTTTCGGAGACGTCTAAAGCATAGGGACGGTCTCTGAATACTCTTCGCATAATCCTTTAATTGTTTTTCCAACCATTTTGGCTCAATAAATGTGCAGGCACAGATGCAACACTTTTTTCAATGTGCCAATATCAACTCATCTTTTAATCAGATGTGTTCGAATGAAGTTCGTGTTTTTACAAATCGCGTAAGTTTCATCGCACCTCAAACTAATTATGATTATATTTTTAAAATGTTTTATTCACAAAAGTTTTCATTTTAGACGAATTTAATCTTAGGATATAGGTGATTGCCCCTAACGAACTGTAAGCACGTATTTTTATAGAAGAGTTTACAGTTACGTAAGTGGAAATTTCAACACTTTCGAATAAAACCATATTCATAGTCGAAATAAAGTCGCCTCTAAAATTAGTTGTAATTTTTTTGACAGATATTCCATTGGAACTTATGTCAAAAGACTGTCGATTTTATTTTGATTATGAATATGTTCCAATAATTTTATTTAAAAGAAAATTAGTCTAGTGTGGCAACTGCATTTCTCTTTTCTTCCCCGTTCGCCATCGTTTTTGACATTTGACATTTCTTGTTACCGGTTTGGGACGTTTATGCACTACCGCGAATCGGTTAGGGACTTTTCCTAATGTTGCAGAATGTCAACATAAAACAAAAGGAAGATAAGACGATTTTCTTAAGAGAATGGAAGTAATGTGTATATTTGTTGAAGAGATGTTGGCATATTCTCTTTGTATATAGCCACACCTTTTTCAAAGAGATTGGGGCCCGATATTGGGGCTCCGGTTACTGGTGTCGTTGTTTGCCGGAAACACAATTTTTTGCCGTTTGTATTTACGTGTGTCTTTCAATTCAATGGGCAGTTGATGATGAAGGAAAGAAATTTGCCGTTTCTATTTGCTGTCGGCAAAAGCAAATGACAATGGCGTACACGATATGTTTGTACATGCGTATGTATGTATTGAGTAGCAGTCTGATAGGAATCGACTGAATTAAATAGGGAGTAAAATGGTGGTTGGTTAGGACATTTCTACCAGGCCTATCATTAATTCCGTCTTAGATCACGGTGCAAAAATGCTATTATCAATTCTACGAAATTTGTATCTACCTATCACTAATTCAGAGTGAAACGCAATTTTGACAGTTTTTTGTTAAAACCAACCAAAACATACAAACAAATCAACAACTATCTAAGTGGATATTTTACAATGCATTAAATAAAAATGCAAGCAGTCTTTATTAATGGTTAGATATGTATGTATAGGTAGGTTTTTTTTTTAAGAAATCCATCCGCGAATTGAATTCATCACGCTGATACAGTTATGGTGACCAATTTGAAATTAAAATAATTAATTTCAAATATGGAAAAAAAATTACATGGACGAATAGCCGGACGAAAGCCAAACATATCCAATAAAAATATTTTACAGCGTTTACGTTTCGCGAAGAAGCACCTTCACCGCGACCATGGATTCTGGAAAGTTGTTGTCTGGAGCGACGAATCCAAGTTCAATGTTTTTTGGAAATGATGGTAGGCCTTGCGTAAGGCGGCCAGTCAACTTCCATTTGGATCCAAAATACAACCGTAAAGCATGGTGGGTCATCGGTTATGGTCTGGGGGTGCTTTACTTCGTCCGGAGTTGGTCCGATAGTGAAAATCGATGGCAAAATGACAGGTGATATGTATAAGAGTATCCTTGAAAATAATCTCTTTGATGAGTATGCCGATAATTTTCCCTTATTATTATTTCAACATGACAACGACAGGAAGCAAATTAGAGTTCTTGAATGGCCAGCCCAAAATTCCGATTTGGGACGGGCAGTGGCCGCCAAAAAACCTTCAAATAAAACCTCTTTGTGGGAGATAATTCAAAATGAATGGAATAATATGGCTCCGGCCCATTAAAAACAATGCCCAACAGATGCGCTTAGGTAGTACGTCAAAACGGTTATCCTACGAAATATTAAAGGTTCGATTCAATAACAATACAAAAAATGCAAATTTGGCTTACATAGATATTTTATTTTCAGATGACTTAATTATACGTCCGAGCAGTAAGAACGAGCATCACAAAAATTTAATTAAAATATTTTTTACTAAAGTGAAATACCTCTTTTTTGTAGGTTATTTTTAAAATTAAGCCAAAATTTAATAAATGAAAAGTTCTGTTTCATTTTTCTTTATCTAAAATACGTTTTAATAATGATACAAGGAATCAAAATGCCAATGACTTAATTCTGTGTCCACGAGTGTATGTATATAAAATCGCCATTTAGTTCAACACCTTATACGGGTTTAATATACCGTTGGGGTCCAACAACTTCTTCACATCTCTCATCATTGCTATGGCTTCAGAGGCTTTACTGTATCTCAAGTAGTTTTTCTTGAGAAAACCAATGCCATGTTCAGCACTTATGCTGCCCCTTAGCTTGTGAGTGTATTCATAGATGAAAGGTTCTATTTTGTGATAAAGTTCCTGGGTGTATTCGGTGCAGCATACGTTCAAGTGCAAATTGGAGTCGCCTGATGAAAAGAAGAAATACATGCATAGTAAAATTGAATATGGTAAACAAATTTATCTAAAAAAAATGCAAAATGTATTTAACAAGAAAATAACGCAGTCAGAGAGAGAGGGAGAACTTGCTTTTTTTTTATTTTGAAAAAGAAAAAAATTCCATATCTACCCAAATGTCCAAATCCAGTGACTCGTGTTGCTAGCGGTCCTACACGCTCCCTCAAAACATCGACTATACTGTAGAATTCGCGTAACGGTAATGAGAGATCGTAATAAAAGCAATAGCCATCTTTTCCTAAAGCTATTGGCGCTATTTCTCGTAGCTTCCAGATTTTCTGCATTTTACGTGCTTCGCTCGCTATAGTGCCATCAATAATTTCACCCTTTCCCATGCCAAATTCAACAAAACGATTTATTTTCTCCAAATCATGTGAACCATTGCTGCCGGAAGTCTCGAGTAGCATGTAAAATGGGAAACTTCCGATTGGTGTACTACGATGCAGGAGAAAAGTGGTTAGCCCCAGGGGGGTTTGCCAACAGTAACATTCTTTTTCGAAACTCACTTCAATTCAAAATGATCAAAGTTAGCCTGCAGGGTTGGTGCATCAATCATTTCACATGCGGATAGAATCTCACCCAAGTGGCGTTTGGCGCTGCTAAAGGTTCTGAGCACTGCATCAAAATTAGGCAAACCTTGAAGAGAATTGTCATATAATGTTACACAGTTTATAATGCATGACGAAATGCACTCACCCAAAAACGCCAAATGTTGTGCTTGCGGCTGTGGCGCACACAAAAGTGACACTTTGGTTATCACACCCAAAGTGCCCTCGGCGCCAATAAAGAGATGTTTCAAATGATAGCCAGTATTGTCCTTTTTGAAGTCGGACATTAAATCTAAAACTTCACCATTCGCTAGCACCTAAGCTTGTTGTTTTTTTTTTTTTTAGACAGTCAGTTTTATAATATTGCCATGTGCCACTTACCACTTCCAAACCCAAAACGCTGCCATGCAGATTGCCATAGCGCACCACCCGCAAACCACCGGCATTGGTAGAAACATTGCCACCAATGTGACAACTCGCTTTGGCGCCCAAATCCAATGGCACTACAAAATCTAATTCACGCGCCTTTCTGTCCAAATTTTCGAGTATGCAACCAGCCTCACACGCCGCAATGCCAGTGATCTCATCGATTTTTAGAATCTTATCCAGCCGTGCCATAGATAATATAATTTCATCGAATACCGGCACAGAACCACCCACCACACCGGTGTTGCCACCTTGTGGACAAACTGCCAATTTGCGTTCATTGCAGTAGCGTAAAATGGCTGATACCTCTTGTGTGGTACCGGGTTTTAGCACCAACTTGCTGTTGCCTAAATACAAGTATAATAAATTTGTTGGAAATTAAGTTATTTTATGGTTACATGCATACCTCGCACAGCACGCCAAAAGTCTATGTTGTAAGTTTGCAAGTCTTCCTGTACCACGTAACGACTGCCCACAGTGGATTCGAAGAATGCAATGTCCCTGTCCTCCAGATCGGCGAAAGGATTGCGTTTCACATTATGTCGTGCCTGCATGA